GCGGTCGCACCGCATTTTCTTGTTAGTAATGGTAACGGCGTGGGAACGATAGGAATAGTAATTAGTTAGATTACTCGTTACTGAAAAAAGTAACGCCGTTACTTGTAACGCCGTTCTTCCCATCACTCTTAATCACAACGTCCTAATTCACCCACTTCTTAGAAAAAAACAACAGCAATAGGGGGTGACTATTATTGTTCTGCACAGCCTTGTGCAGTGGTATCTTCCTGCATACAAGCTGTACCACGAACTATACAGTTTTCTACTTTTACCTTTACTTTCTCTACTCTACTTTTGCCACTGATGCGAACTTATGTGGTTCTCACCTGCTTCAACAGTAGCAGCAAATTTGAACTCTTACAAATTGAACAAATTCAAAATACACAAACCTTCACCTTATTAAAAGTGCTTCAGTCTAAGATCAGTTTCTTGGCTGTGCAGGGGACTAAGATGTTTTCCAGAAGTGAATGAAGAATATTAACAAAAATGTTGTTCCTGGTATAAAGTACCACTATTGTGATTGATGCTTGTTTTATTTTTGAATGCGGGTGGTATGAAGGCAACCCGTCTACCTGCAGAGAATGTTTGCAGAGTTCTCAATGACTTGATATCACAGTTACAAATCTTCTAAATATTACTGTCTCTTATATTTTTTGTATATTTAAAAAAAAAAAGTTCATCTGTCAAAACAAATACCAACCAAAATATCAAAAAGCATTATGTCAGTTCCATACATTATTATTTATTATCACTTTATTAGTGAATTTTCTAAATTGTAAATTACCATTACTTTTATTATGTGATGAAATAACAATCTCTGTGGTACCATTTGTCAACACATCTATCATATTGTTCCTGTGAGAACTGTAAATACATGTAGTATAGCACCTTGGAGAAACAGCGAAAAGATAACAATGACAAAAAGAATCTGCCAGGGAGAAAATATAGCAACAATAAACTACAAATTAAATGAGATCTATAAAAACACACTTCACTACTACAGCAATGATATAAAATTTGCCAGACAATCCTACATCTCCCAACTGTTTAACAGTGATCAGTCTGCTTTTTTTATTTTTCTTTCTCCCATCAATAAATCAAAGGATGAACAACTTCATCCTTCCAAAACGAGACCAAGTGAATCTTTACACAAATAAATTTATCAACTTTGCTTCTTACTTACTCCAGAATAACATTTCTAATATTAGAGTTAACCTCTTAGACTCTTATAGGAATTTACCAAATAGTGTTGGAATTAAAAAGAATTTAGTGATTCGGATTCCATTATCAGTGTCATCGATTCAGTTCCATATCGATTCACATTGCGGTCTCATTGGTACTGACTCTGTCATGTGTCAATGTGTGACAGGTAGAGGTCGGACCTAAATTGCAAACACGGTGACAGGAGTGAGCTCAGAACAGCTTTATTACTTGAGTTTGGGGAAGAAAACACAAAAATATCAAAAACTGAGCCTAAACAGAAGCCAATAACTTAGTGGTTACAAAACTGAATGAATAGAGCACACACACACTCACATAGGGAGAGAATGACAACAATGTGACAGTAATCATAGGGACAATAAATACACAGGAGGGGCTGAGAGGAGTCTAACTGACGAGAGACAGGAAGCAAAACTGAACACGAGACAAGGGACTATCAAAATAAGACAAGAAACGCATCACACTCAGAGACTTGAGACACACAAACTTGGCAGAGGGACAGAGTGAGAGAGCAGTGAGACATGACTGAAAGAGGACACAAGATTCACCTGAAACAACTACAAAGAGACCAGACAACCACAGAGACAAAGCACAGAGAAACATTTAAAGTTTCAAGTTTATTGTTATGTACAGAAACTTGAAATGTCTCTCTGTGCTTCCACATGACAGGGAATACAGATGAAGATAACCAACTGAGAAGATGGAACAAACACAAACAGAGAAAAAGTAGTACATACAGAGACAAAGGCTGACTACTCACTGAGACAAGACAAAGAGCAGGTGACACGAGAGGGGAACTAACAGTGATATGAAGTAAGGGCTAAGAATAAAAAACATAAAACTCAAAAGCATAAAGAATGACATTAAACTAGGAGGACTAATATTAGAACTAGAATCTAAATTATTCAGTCCAAATCCAAAAATAAACTCGTAACCACAAAAAGTCAAAATACATGGCCAAAAACTGGGATGCCCTTTGTTGTGATCAGTGTTGGGGTCATTACATTACAAAAGTAATGCCTGACACATGTTACAGGTACCGGGTGGCAGCACATGTAGGCAGCTATATATGTGTCCTGTAAACAGGAAAGAAATGATCTGACAGGGAGACGTGGCTTGCCGTTTCCTGAATACTCCGCCATTATGTATTCAAATTCACAATTATGCACTCCTTTTATTACTTTTACAGTATTACAACTGTGTATTTACTTATTCTTAACATAGCTCACACATTCTCCATATGTGTTACCAACTGTTACCAACTAGACTAAAGGGAATTAACACATCCCAATATCATAAACATGAACAATATTCTTGTAAGACTTGGTTCAAAATGAATTCCAACAAGACAAATCTATAAATCTCAAATAGTTTGAAAGAATGGTGTAATCAGCACCATCTTGACATGTGCACTGAATTCATGGAAACACTTTATGGCAGAAAACAAGATACTAAAACAATACAGAATATCGCAGAGCATAGGAGGTGTGCGACCCTGGATGTGATTGCTATTATATTCTATTTCGGGCACGATACGAACCTGTAAACAGGAAAGAAAGGATCAGACAGGGAGACGTGGCTTGCCGTTTCCTGAATACTCCACCATTATGAGAAAACAGCGCGGAGCATGCGCTTCAGGCTGCTAACAACAGGCCAAACCATGGTCTCACACTGCCACCTACTGTTACAAAAATGGATCGCCCGCTACAAATATCCCAGGGTAGTTACCAAGTTTCCTGGTAAAATTACTGTAGTTATTTAGGGCATTCCCAAATGGAAATATCACTTACATTGAAAGTAAAATTACTTAAATTAATTCACATAAATGTGATCACACATTAGTGGGTATCACACACATATTACAGATAACACTTAATTTCATGTTTCTCTGTAAAATGACCTGAAACCCCTCGCATTGCCATTAATTAATATAATCTATATGTCCACAGTCCCACACATGTTTACAAATTTCTTTGTTGATGAGGACACACATACAACCTTCCTGTTAGTATTTATGTATGAACACACAGCTGACAGGACAAGCAAAGACAAAAACCTTCAAAAAGAGAATTTCAAGCGATCGCCACTGTGATTCTACTTTAGAAACATGAACAGGTAGAAGCAGAGGCCGCAGCCTGAGTGCCTGTCAGTTTGTTACCTGTTAAACGTCAGGGTCTGGCTGCTGGCTGCTGGCTTGAGGTCGACATTCAGTCAGCTAACATAACTCTGGGTACTTGGCTAGCATAGCGTCAGCATGTTGTCTGTGCAGCTGATTGCAAAGAGCTGAAGTTGTGTTAGCAGCATAATGCAGTTGTTTCTGTTCCTGATGCACTTTACACTTTACCATCATGCTCTCATTCTTTATGAATAAAAGTACTGTCCATATCCATGCTGTAGACCACACCTTTATTTTTCTCCTGTGTCAAACAACTGAAACCAGCTGATTAGAACAGATGAGTGAAACAGAGGCAAGCAGTCGAACAGTTGGAGGGGATTCAAATTTTGGGAACCTTTCTTGATTCCCGCCCTTCATTGGCTCAATTGGTCAATTTAAAATCCTCCTTTTGGTTCTTAAAACACTTGTTTTTTTTTTTATCCTCCAGTATAACTGCTTCCCCAGTCTCTCAAAAAACCTCACATCAGATCAAGTGCAGCTTTTTGAACTGTTCCCACAATTAGATTAGAAGTGTGCTAAGGGGGGTTTCTGTTACTGTGGCTCTGTGTTTACATTCAAAACAGACTCAAAGTCCTTTTAATTTGTGCAGGGTTGCAGTTATTAACTGTGTTTTTTGTGTGTATATATTAACTTCTATTTTCTATCTTTGTAAAGTTTTATTTTGCCTGTAGACCTACATGTGATAGCACATTGGATCACCATAAAACCACTTTAGTGTTTAAATAATGTACAATGTGCACTTTTCCATTATGCCCTCTTCCACAGTTAGGGTTTGAAATCAACTGCGGCACTGACAACAAATGCGTTGATAACCTGAAAGTGGATTTCAACTTCACCAGGTGAGGCACAGTTACCAAACTTAAGCTTTGCGTGTGAATCTTGTTTTCTTCAAATGTGTTATTATTTGCAAGCTGAATTTAATGTCACTTAACTTGTCTTTACATGACCATCATTAATATTTTTGAAAGTGATGACACTCAGTTGTTTTGTTTGTGCTAACAAGCAAATATTAGAATGTTAACTCAATAAAAAGGGATGAATGGTTTTTTTTTTCTCACATTTAGCGCCAATATCTTAGCACAGCCAATTTTACCTTACTGTTTGAACAAAAAAAATAACATGGTTTATCAAAGTTCAAAGTACATCATATTTGATATACTCTGACATTGGTATGCTTGTAGTCTTGTCTTGTTTTACCTTGTTCTCATCCTCCTTAATACTCCACAGATCCTCAGAGGTTAAAGTGGGCATTGATGAGCTTTTGGATGTCACAGTCACAGTGGAGAACAGAGGAGAAAACTCCTACAACAGCCGTGTTATTCTCACGTACCCAGCTGGACTCTCCTACAGGAAGTTCACCATTCAGCAGGTAAAGCATCAGGATCAAGTCTGTATCAGTTCATCACTGATCTGCTGCTCTTCCAATGCATCCAGCAGTCATTTTGTTTTCTAATAAAGGGAAGAATTGAATGCAACTCTGTGGACAGTGAAGATGGCTTATCACGAGGAAGGACAGACTGCACTATTGACAAGCCAATTTTCAAGAACAGAACTGAGGTTTGGGGGGAGAAGGGGTTGACCAAATGATCCATTCTCCCTTCTGCACAGTTTAGTAAAAACAGAAGTCATTCCAATCTGTCTTCTTCATTTGAATTTAGGTTTCCTTCATTGTCTCCTATGGGATTGAAACAGACAGTAAACTTGAGAGGAAGCTCTTTGTCACTGCAAATGCCACCAGGTACTGTTCATTTAGTCCAGGTGCACTTCATTTAAGCAATAACCTCACATATACGGTACAAATCATTTCATTTTTCCTTTTCAGTGGAAATCAGGAGCATTCCCCTACAAGTGAACTCTACAAAAAGAAATGGATTGATGTAAAATACAGCATTTTTATGACATTTGAAAGGTATGTGTTTTTCTGTTTTAACAAAAGCAAACCATTTAGAAATTAACAAATGATGATTTATTGATATTATTTATAATAACAGTTATTTAATGATTGAAATATTTTTGTCTAACTCCCCTCAGCTACCAGAGTTTCACGTTGGGGATAATTCATTTGCAAAAACCCATCCAACAATCAAT